TGCCCTAGGAAGGCCAGAGAAGGCCCAGCTGCTATGCTCTAAAGCACTTAAGGAACTTGCGAAGCTCAGGATCAGAAATGCCATGGAGACCAAGAAAAGGCCCAGCTCCCCAATGACCTGTCGAGCATGAAAAGAATGAGGTCCAGGCCCCAATGGCCCAGTGCAGCAAAAATAGCAACCTGCACCTGTCATGTTGGAACCACCGCGCCTGACCACAAAGCAAACAGTATGCTGAGACCCGCATCGACAGACCCGAAAGACTGCCGAGGATCAGCCAGTAGAAGAGGCTGGCGAGCATGGACAACACGGAATAAACATCTCCTTACCAGAAAAAGCTGCGCCTGCACTCAGACTTTGGCCTCTATGATTCGCTCGTCATACTGACTTTACTCTTGATTGTTTCACAGTATGTTGTCTCACGATTCAAATTGCGGTTTCACGGATTCTTGCTTCGAAACCAGGGCAAGCAGGGAGCCTTTCACAGTGGAAATGCTCTCAATGTACTGGAACATTTGGAGAACCCCAGAGATTGCCATTTGGGTATATGAGTAAGAATCACACGAGCCCAATGGTTCGCCCAGTCTTCGTGATGCTTGGTTTGAACCGAACCAAATCCGCATCAGATCTTGGTTGGAGCAATCATTCCAAGCGAGTACATTGGGGGTGGAAAATCAAAAGCACATTTGAAACTACCACGGAGTTCATACAACCTACAACAATCTTTTGTTTCCTCTATATATAATCCCCACAATCTAATAGCAATCGATGACCTCCGTAGGAACCTTGGCTCCCACATGAAGCGTTCAAGCCATGTCTCTTAATCCTGAGGCACGGGGACATTTCTGCGTGAACAGACCTGCACCCTGAAAGTCACCGGCACTGAGGCACCAAAGGATCAGATCCAAGAGGCACCTGGTGCGGCTTAAACGCTCCCAGCGTTGCCGGTGAAGAACGGCTTATATCGGCTTGAACGTGCTTTCAGGTTCAGGTGAAAATTGAAGAGTTTGACATCCCCTTAAATTGACCTAGGGGTGAAAATCCCGCAGAACTCTGTTCAAAAAGGGTGGAAAAATGCAAATGTCTAAAGCACATCATCAGGTGCATCAAGCTGAGGCAAATCAGAAGTCCCATTTTGTACAAGTTGTTGGCCTTCTGCAGGTACATAGGGTATCTGAGACGCCAAAACTTCACAGTTTTTCCGTCCCGAAAGTTGGCTCGCATCTGCATGAAGTTGTGCATCAAAAGCAGGGGGATGTTTCCCTGGTAGATGATCAAACGACATGCAAAGATGGTGGTTCTCGTTGCCGCTTCTGGATTGCCCTTGTTGGTGTGCTGCAAGAAGGACTGGGCGGTCGCCTTTTTTGGGAAGTCACCAGTCTGCGGGGTTACCCTCTGGTAATGACTAACACTTTGCTATTGAAAATGACCCATGGAAATAGATGTAAATAGTTGATTTACCTCTGTAAAATAGTGATTTTCCATAGCTATCTTAGTTTACCAAAGGGTAAATGAATAAGTTTCAGCTCCTCTTTGGAAGTTTCAAGGTTACCATACTGCACAACAACTGCAAGCTTTCGAGTGACAAAAACGATCAGAAAGCCAAGAAAAATGCCATGGTCCAGCGCGAACGCACGAAGAGCGAGGCCCTCCCAAACCTTGGTGTCTTTGAGGCGCGACCAGCCATGGCAAGATGTGAGAAGTCTAACAATGACTTCATTCACGTTTCGTTGCCACGTGAGCAATTCCCAGAAAACCTTCTATCATCACCATCGTTTTCAGGGGGGAGCGTGTGCCCAAAATGTAAGCTGCATGTTTCAGGGTGTTTTTGAGGGGTGCCCTGAAAATGTAAGCTTACATTTTGAAGGTATTTTGAAGACCCTCCCCACAAAAAGACACAAAAACGACCCCTGGGGGACGTTCAGCGACCAATTTTACATTTAAGGGGGGGTCCCAAAAAATGTATCTTACATTTTGGTATGGTCCGCCCCTGAAAAGTAGCCTTAAAGGTGTAGTGATCTTCTATCATATTCTTTCTACTTATTGATTGCTAGAAATCCCCACAGTGCATTAGGTTCTCATTCCCATGTTGGCATCTGCTGGTAGCTGGGGAACTGTATCAGAGACAAGCTCAAAGGTGGGATGGCGAACCAGCTCAGTATCTCTGCTTTGCACTACCTGAGTTTGTGTCGTAAAAAACGATGTCTCATTCTCAGCCAATAAGCTGGGACCAAAAAAGGGCCAAGAAAGAAAGCTAAAATGGTCCATCTTTCAGCTGCGTCACCCACTTGAGAGCTTGGTTGAAGTTGCCTTCGCTATCTTCAATCAAATGTTTCACATAGTAATTCACACGTCTTTTGCCTTCCACTGCATAGCGGGATCTCCAAATCAACCCATCCAGCAAGGTCGGCATCAAAGGTCGTGCCCGGTCAATGAGCAGTTGGATGATGTCCGGATGTCGTGCAAACCTGAGAAACGTGTTTGATGCTTCGTGTTGTCAAAGAAACCCGCAACAGCCTTCTGAATCCTGACACAAACTCAAGGTCATGTGCAGGTGGGCCAAAAATATCCCATGAACCTGGCTATTTATATATTTGTTTAAGAAAAGGCGACAAGGACACGAATGTGGACCCACCAAACCCCTGGTCCAAGAAGCAGGGCGTCACAGCCATAGTAATAGTTGTGACGGTCTGCGCGAATTGTCAGCAAGTCCTGCAAGGGCTGAGTGTCACAAAAGGTCATCAGCTTGAGCTATTTTTGGTAGCTGCTCTTACTGAGTGCATATATCCTAAATGGGGGTACCCCAATAGCTGGATGGTTTATACTGGAAAATCCTATCAAAATGGAAACCTCCATATCATTAGATCGTGAGTTCCGCATTGCTACAGCATGCTACTGCTGAGCAAAGCTGGGCTCATCCACGGTCTGGGCCTGAAGAATGGCGTCCGCAGCTGTGAGGGAAGCATTTTCAATGGCCCAGAGCAGGGGAGAGATCGAGCGAGTGCCGACTGTGACCTCTGCTGCATCAAGGGCCATGGGACATATGTGAAGTGAAGGGATTGGAAAAGGCAGAAGCCTGCCCAACTACAAAGAGAAAATAAAAATGGATGGACGTTTTCATGTTTGGGCTTCGCTGATGGCAAAGCAAAAGATGAAAGGGTCCATTGAAGCATCTGAAAGGGACGTGTCCAGTTTTTGTTTGCTTGAATTATGTACTCACGGAGGCACACAATCGCTGTGGCTTTTGCTTCATTACTGCAATGGTTCATGCTATCGTAAGCGTTTGTGGCAAGATTGTGCAACCTCCATTCCTTGCCTCAATCAACAAGTTCATCTGGGCAAATAAACCAACTTTAAAATCAAGGGGTTCGCCATTCCAGGGGCTGTTTCAGTCATGAAAGTGTGCTATTTGACCTCCAAGAAAATGTTGGTTGAGTTTGGCTGTACTGCATATCCAGCTTTTATCTCCCTCTCTCTCGCTGGGCTCCCTATTGATGATTGAGTTTGCACCAACATATACGTTCACATACTCACCACAACCGCATGTACTCACCATATATAATACCCATGAACCCATATGAAAGTACCAACACTATCCATTCAATCCACTCGCTGAACCACACCCAGTGACATACAGCAGCTGCGAGGCCCGTTGGCTCCGCGCCGTGAGCGCCACAGCCTTCTGCAGCGCCAGGCGCTCGTTCAGGGTGATCGCGCGCATGACCAAAGTGGAGCCTGGCAGGTCATCCACTATGGATCGGGCCATGGCGGCCATGGATGACCCGTTGATCCGTTGATCCGTGTATATATCATCCAAAATCATATAGACACGTTAGATAACATGTGAAATTTTATATTAAATATAATGATTCCATAATGTCGGCCCTGGATCAATAGCCTTGGTTGACTAAAATGTTGATCAACCAAGAGGGATGTGGGATTCCTATGGGATTCCTATGGATTCCTCCCACATGGCAAGAATTCGATACTAAAATGGTCACTCCCGCATGATCATAAATGATCAACAGCCCAGGGGTTAGTAAAAATTCCGGGGTTGACAATGTTGACATTACAAGTGAGTACTAAGAATATATAGAATCTATTAGAATCTCGGATTCTCGGCTAGATTTAAAAAAACATGAGTCTGGCCGGGAGGTCCAGGTTTTCTGCACCTATCCCAAATCGTACATGTTGGTTTTCGCTTTTCTTTTTATTTGCCTAACCACATGATGTCTTCAGAACTCAGCATGGAACATCGCTGGATGACCCTTAGTCGCGCACTGGAAGGACTCCCTGGCTCACTGGAAGGTGTTTATTTTGGATTGGCCAAGTGTTTGGACTAATGCCATAGTCCAATTTGCCAATGCCTTTGTCAACATGAATCATATTATATTGCGCAATTTCTTTGGGGAGCAGCAGCTGTGAAACCCACCAGACTCCTGGTGTGGCAACTGCCACGCTTCAAACATGATTTCTACTATATAAATCTATATAATACCATCTAATACCATCTAATACCTACTGATTTCAATCTATCCAAGCCACTTCAACCTGTGCAACTGACGATCATGGAGAGATTAGGACCGCATGTCACAAGGAATACCTGGACTTGCTGTGAGCGTGAGCTTCTACGCTTGTGGAACTAGATGGAACTAGGCAGGCTCTGCAATGGCTCCCTTCGTACTCAACCTTGTGCCACAAATGTTTGGATAGCTCGGCCGCGGTTTGTGTGCTTATCACTGCGCGAAGCTGGCTTCTAGACTATCAAGGTTAGAGTGTGAGTCGAGGATTGCCTTTTTTCTTTTGTATTTAGTTAGAGAGCGACTGCATGGCCACAAGAGTCTAAACTCAATGAAACGGCCCCCCGCCTTCCGTAACTGTGCGAGACAGGATCTTGCCAATCAGCGTGACTGACCTTGCATCCAGCCACAATTTTGAGGAACAGCTGTCTCCAAGTGCTGATGTGTCAAGGGGTATCAAGTCTCTTGTGGGCAATTCTGCTGTGAAGATCTGTGAAGTATGTCACATTGTTGGCTAGATCTCTTTTCGATCTTTTCGGCAGGTCCTGCAAAAGGACTCATGCCTTGCGCAAAAATCTGTCTCTGTCGGTCATTCCTGTCGCAAAGGCGTTTGATAGGAATTCAGCCTTCTGATTGTTCCTGGTAAGGCCACACAACACAAAGTGCCAAGGCAATCCAATCTACTGTAGTTTATCATGTTCATCAATCTCCTTGTCGATCTAATTCTATGTATTTCCATATGCAGTACATAATATTACATAATATCATAAGCGCGCAATGCCAACAATTATGCGCACAGTGATTTATGCGGGGATGTTCCCTTCAGCACCACACATGACGCATCTCCAAATCGAGACCAAACGACCAGCGAAAGGCATTCACCACCATCTCATCACTCGTCACCTCCTGAAGATGTGGGCCGAAAAAAAGACAACACTATAGTTATATCACTATGAATCACCATAGTTATATCACTCACTATTATATCATGGTGAGATATGGTGAGTGATATCACTATAGTTAAGCCATGTTAAGCCTATAGATACACCAGAAAAAGGCTTTAGCAGCACTGATTGCTTTACCCACAGCCTGGAGAGCTTCGACGGCAGCTTGCACAAAGGGAGGAAAGAATTCCACTGGGATTGACATACCCACCTCAGCAGGCGTCAGAGTCAAGTTCGGAGATGTGCCAGTAAGATACTGTGAGATATGTGAGATACATTCAACATGATATGGTACTGATATAGTGATATGCAATGTTAAAATATGCCAAAAGGATCCAAAAGGACTACTGCATACATTACCTTTCTACATATACCTTTCTTCACTTTCTTTCCATGGGTTGTGACATCACGGTGCATACGCGTCGAACCTGAAACTTTGAACTGGCAATGACTGGCCATTGCAAATGTAATCTGAAACTCTAAGGATGGCAAAACACAAGCCAGAAAGGAAAGCCACCCCGGTCAGTTTGATGCAATAAAGAAATGAAATGGCTGCTGCGATACATTCCAACCCCGGAACCTTCTTGCTGCAGTTGGAGATCAGTATATATAATATTATATAATAACATATGCCAACCTCGAAATAGATAGAAAAGTGGGACACCTGGAAATGTGCTTCGTACATATAATTGTCTTTTTCAACTCCCGGCAAGTCACTTTTCAACATGTTTCAACATCTGTTTTGGGGGTGCTATAGAAATGATGACATATTATATATGTGTGTGTGTGTGCAGCAGTGCGCAGTAATATAGTTGAATCTTTCACCAGGTCCCAGCTGCATGTCTGAGACCCAGAGAGGACAGTTGATCCACAGTTTCTTTTGGCTCACGGTGGATCGACAAAGTGAGTTCCAGTGTGCGTTCGGCTATGTGATACCTGCCATGGGCGCTGGGACGGCTGGGACATGGGGCACCAATGGGCAAAGCATTGTCAAATGGGCGGGTCATGATTAGCACAAGTCGCTCAGTTTCCACAGCATCCCAAGCCAGAACCATCCCTCAGCCAGCAATGCAGCAATGCAGCAAACATGTCTAGGGCGTGCATTCGAGTCTTGGACTCCTTGAAGAATTCTTGACCCGCCGGCGCGATCTCAAAGAACTTGAGGTGGACGTTCTGCACCACGTGCTCCAGCCTCTTGGAGCTTTGCATGAACTTCTCCAGCTCTTGCTCCTGCACCTTTTCAAAGGGTGATGTTGGGCAGCAAGGCTGAGAAACAACAGCACAAGCAATCTGCATACGCTACAAGAACACCAAGGTACAATCTATGAGGGGTGGAAGTGATTTGAGTTTATTTACTGCAGAAGGCGAGGTGGCCCCTAGCTGATGTTCTATTCGTTTCCGTTCCCATATGTGTTTGATCAACACCCTCATCTTCCAACGCCGCACTATTGGTATGTACGTACATATATCATATATATATATATATCTCTCTCTCTCTCTCTATGTTCTACGTTTTCATTTTTGATCTACCTCCTTTTTCAGGCGGCTCCATCCTGCTCCTGGGACCTAATTCAGGGGCCAAGAAATGGAACCAATGAGGCCTGCAACTTGCCATCCAAGTCAGACAGCAGCCGCTCCACATTGGACCAAAACCATGTCCTAGGTGTGAACCAAGGGGTGAGGATATCAACCAGCAAAACGTGGCGATAATTATTCACCAACAAAACGAAGATGTTAATCAGGAAAATGATGGAAAATAGTATCGGGATATGCATGGATGATTTAGATATAATATTATACAATGTAGAAATACGCCGCTTTGTGTATACATAATATATATATACACGCATGTATGTGAGCCAAAGTCTTGAAACCTTTTAAGCATGGCAGTCCTGTCTTTTCCGGGACGGCACCAAGAGAACATGCATCACAATTTATGGAAAATGACGTTCCCAGATGCTCCAGTATCTCAGTGTTTTTCCGGTCACATCAGTTACATCATTTTGAGATATTTTGAGGACTGCGCCCAAGAGAAAGAAACTGTCCCAATTATCCGCCGACCCCAGCAAACTGCAGGGGGAGCGCGCCCGAGAAGAAATGTTGTTGCTAGGTCCTTGGCTGCCACGGTGTTTTGGTGCTGCGAGCAGGTAGCCGCAGGGCTGGCTAATTCCAAGGTTTGGAGCTCGTTTCTATGGATTTCCTGTGGTGCATACTTCTTGTTGGATGTTCTGACATGTCTGGGTGACCGGAGGAAAACATATGCAGATGTCTCAAAAGAGGAGTGGTCACATGAGTGCTAAAACTTATTTTTTGGCGCTGTAGAGCGACGGTTAGAGGCATTCCACTGGCCTTTGCTTACCTGCAGAAAGCGACGTTAGGCAGTACCCCTTGCCGGCGCTTTTGGCCATCTGTTGGGCCTTTGCCTACAGAGTTTTTCCAGCGCCGTCAGGAAGCGCCTGGAGCTTTCCTAGTGCCTTCAGAAAGAGAGGTTAGGCAGTGCCCTCAGAAAGAGACGTTGGGCAGTACCAAACGCTCCTTTGGCCACCTGCCTTTTTCTCCGCGCCCTTCGCGGCCCAGCAGCATGTCCTTTGGCCACCTGCCGGGCGCTTTCCTGGAGATTTTCTTCTGGTTTCAGAAAGCAACGTTAGGCACTAGGCTGCCCTTAAACGTCTTAAACGTGTCCCGGCGCCCTAGGCTGCCCTTAAACCTTTTTCCCGGCGCCCTTGGCGGCCCAGCAGCATGTCCTTTGGCCACCTGCCGGGCGCTTTCCTGGGAAATTTTCTTCTGGTTTCAGAAAGCAACGTTAGGCAGTAGGCTGGCCTTAAAACATGACAGCAGCCATGTGCGATGTCATTGCAGGGAGGTTAGAGAGAATACTGGCGGAAGAGAACGCACCGCGAGACCATAGAACTAACACAGCAGCACTGGCTGACCTACACAAACCAGGCCTCACTGTCCATGCAGCTAGTTCCCACGGAGTAAACAACTGTTTCATTCTGGTTTCAGAAAGCAACGTTAGGTACTCGGCTGGCCTTAAACGTCTTAAACGTGTCCCGGCGCCCTAGGCTGCCCTTAAACCTTTTTCCCCGCGCCCTTGGCGGCCCAGCAGCCTGTCCTTTGGCCACCTGCCCCCCGCTTTCCTAAATATTTTCTTCTGGTTTCAGAAAGCAACGTTAGGCACTAGGCTGCCCTTAAACGTCTTAAACGTCTTAAACGTGTCCCGGCGCCCTAGGCTGCCCTTAAACCTGTTTCCCCGCGCCCTTGGCGGCCCAGCAGCCTGTCCTTTGGCCACCTGCCGGGCGCTTTCCTGGAGATTTTTCTTCTGGTTTCAGAAAGCAACGTTAGGCACTAGGCTGCCCTTAAACGTCTTAAACGTCTTAAACGTGTCCCGGCGCCCTAGGCTGCCCTTACACCTTTTTCCCGGCGCCCTTGGCGGCCCAGCAGCCTGTCCTTTGGCCACCTGCCGGGCGCTTTCCTGGGAAATTTTCTTCTGGTTTCAGAAAGCAACGTTAGGCACTAGGCTGCCCTTAAACGTCTTAAACGTCTTAAACGTGTCCCGACGCCCTAGGCTGCCCTTAAACCTTTTTCCCGGCGCCCTTGGCGGCCCAGCAGCATGTCCTTTGGCCACCTGCCGGGCGCTTTCCTGGGAAATTTTCTTCTGGTTTCAGAAAGCAACGTTAGGCAGTAGGCTGGCCTTAAAACTCTTAAACGTGTCCCGACGCCCTAGGCTGCCCTTAAACCTTTTTCCCGGCGCCCTTGGCGGCCCAGCAGCATGTCCTTCGGCCACCTGCCGGGCGCTTTCCTGGAGATTTTCTTCTGGTTTCAGGAACAGAAGTAGGCACCTAGTTGCACTCTTCAACGTTTTTTCTTAAACGTGTCCCGACGCCCTAGGCTGCCCTTAAACCTTTTTCCCGGCGCCCTTGGCGGCCCAGCAGCATGTCCTTCGGCCACCTGCCGGGCGCTTTCCTGGAGATTTTCTTCTGGTTTCAGAAAGCAACGTTAGGCACTAGGCTGGCCTTAAAACATGACAGCAGCCATGTGCGATGTCATTGCGGGGAGGTTCGACAGAATACTGGCGGAAGAGAACGCACCGCGAGACCATAGAACTAACACAGCAGCACTGGCTGACCTACACAAACAAGGCCGCACTGTCCATGCAGCTAGTTCCCACGGAGCAAACCACTGTTTCATAGATTCCATCGTCATCTCCCTCGCGGCCCTTGGCGGCCCAGCAGCATGTCCTAGCCTATGCTTCTTTCTTTTTCTCGCTCTTCCAGCTCTTCTGTGTGCACGGGCGTCCCGCTGGTGTGTTGTGCTGCACGCGGATTCGCCCCGACGCGCTGGCTGACCACACGGCGGCTTGGCACCGCGGGCATGTGTGCATATGTTTTCGCGTTGCATCGGTGACTTTGCCATTCTTAACATAGAACCAGCTGCCGCACACGCTGCCATGGTTGATTTGCCCGGTCATCACGTTGCTGCTCACTTTGCCATCGCAAAACGGGCACTGGTACACCATCTTCTTTGTCACGACGCATCCATCTTTGACCTGAAATCGGTTGCCGCACACGCTGCCATGGTTGACTTGCCCGGTCATCACGTTGCTGCTCACTTCGCCATCGCAAAACGGGCACTGGTACACCATCTTCTTTGTCACGACGCATCCATCTTTGACCTGAAATCGATTACCGCAATGCCTGCGGTGATCTACTTGGCCAGAACGCACAATGCTGCTGACGGCAGCCTCACAAAACGGGCACGTGTAGTGGAATGTGTCGTCCGTGTTCTCTTGGGGTCCGCACGCGGGAGACAACTTGTGCGGGCCGCCCGCGCCACTTCCCACTCGCGCGAGCCCTTCGCGACCTGCGTTTGCGGCCTTCTCCGGTAACCCCATCGCGCCAGGTGTTGCCTGCGCGCTCGTCTTTGCCCTCCGTTCGGTTATTGCTGCTATTTCGCGTCAGACGTCCTCAACAATGGATTGCTCGCGCTCCCTCTGGAGGCGGTGCCGCAAACGCAGCACCCGTTGATTCGCTCTGCGAGCGACGCGACAAACCAACGCCAATGACACGCACGTGTTGCATTGCTGCGTGCCATTCTGTGCGTGCACGCGCGTGGCCTGCCACGCAGAGAATTCTGCACGAGGCTTGCGTTCCTCGCAGTGGCTGCACGCCCAGTGATCGCGCATCTTCGTTGCGCATGTTCGACACCACCGTCTCTCTGTATTTCGCGCCTTCCACGCTGCCGCCCCGAAGTCAGCCTCCGACTTCGCGACACCGCATCGGGTGCAAGGCTTTTTCGTTTCGCATGTCAAACACACGCGGTAAAAGCTGCATTGTCGTTGCCGCTGCTTCTCCGGAAAGTTCGTCTCTGCATGCCACCGTTTGCAGACGTTGCATTGCCACGGCGTCCCGGCATCCGCGTACCTCTTCGTGCACTCACGACACACGCGGTCAGCATCACTGCGTTTCCACTGTCCTGCGGTGAATGCAGTGGCCGGCTTGCGCTCCGCGCAGGCACCACACGTCCGTTCTTCACAATATTTCGCCAAGAGCGCTTTCCACTCTATGCGTTCCCCGCGCAGCTGCCGCAGTAGCAGATCCCGGCCCAAGCCAATTCCCTTCTGGAACGGCGCTGCGTCGAAGGCCCGATAGATGAACAATCGCGTGCGTCCCTGTACCCGCGTGAATGCGACATATGCAGTGAAGGGGTTACCTCCAAGACCAACACACAGGTCTGTAAGGACCCCTTCTGTGATTGTTTGGCCCTGAGCCACATGGGCGGTGATGGCGAAGGCCGGCGCCAATGGAAACTGCGTGCGCGAAACCCGAAGTTGTGGGTTTTTCCGTTGGCGATCCAAGTACCACACCCGCTTGCAGGTCGCGACAGGATACACATTCTCCTCCGGAACGCCATCAATCTGCCAGCATTCGGCGGTGTCGAACTTCACATACACGGCCTGCGGTAACGCGTTCCAGAGTACTACACCGTCGTGTGTTTCATCCGCACAGGACGACCAACCCACGATCGTCCCGCGGCATCCTTTTAGGATGCCTCGCCTTCTGTCTAAGTGTTCTGTGGCGCGAACCGGCATGCCGACGCAAAGCGGCAACAAGCCATACAACCCCCCACATTCCTTGTCGTGCCGCTGCAGCCAAGGCAGGTTTCTCTTGGAGAACTGCAGCGGAGGCCTTATCCCGGGCCACTGCCACGTGCACGGTTTTTCCCCGCGACGTGGCCCACTGCATGGCTCTGCGT